CATATACTATCTATTGTTGCCTCTGTCTTAAAATCCCAAATCACTCTGTATTTTGTTAAGTCTTGTGTAGACTTTTGTATAGAATCTATCAAGTTATAGTTATCATACTATAGTTAAGCAGTTTCTGTTATTACTGTAGTTAAAGGAAAAACTATAAGTTAACAATGCATACAAAAAAAGTATTAACAAATGCAATACATATTGTAAATTTTTTTCATACACCTTCATATTTTACTGAATTATTGTGAAATAAACAAATGTCATATTATAAACAAACTATTTTTCTTATTACTTCAGCTAAAACACATTGGAACAGTTTTTATTTTTGTTTTTATTCAGTTTTAAAAACTAAGATAGCATTTAAAATAAGTAATTAGTATTATTAGTTATTGTCTTATTATAAAAAAATTTATATGTTTAATAATTATATTAAAAATTAAACCTTGGTCACAAAGTTTTCACTTACAAGAATTGGATTAGTTAGTACTTCTCAAAGTGGATTTTCACAATAACAATTTATATCAGAAAATACAGAAACAAGCAAAACACTTTTACATAATATTATAATAATTGTACAAGATTCTAATTTTTGGAACCAACTTTATAAACTTTAAGATTTGCTATTTCCTATGTTGTGTACTAAATAAACTTCAAAAAGATGTCACAAAGGTATATGAAATTGCATACTACTTTGAATAGCTTGTTAAAGTTTTTGTGAACCATAAGAATGAACATTTTTTTAATCATATGATGACATGTTTAGAGAATTGATGAGCTTAGTAGAAACAAGCCTTACTTCTACTTTCAATTATTTTGCATCTAAAATATTGTCTTTCAGTATTTTCTTCTAACAGTTCTAATCTTTCTTATATGCATTTTGCTCAATAGTTAAATTAAAACTATTATGTATAGTTTGGAAAAATACTAACATGCATTTTACAGGAATTTTTACTATATTAGAGAGAAGAATTTTTTTTTAACAAAGAATCATACAATCAATTTGTCAAAAATATTTTTAATTTTTGAGATATGGCAAAAGGCATAACACCAGAATTAGCTCAATTAGTATTACAACTATTTACTATATGTATTAATTTAGCTTTAGTTGAATGATTATGGTCTACTATGGTTTATTTATATACAAAAAACTAAAACTACTTGTCAGTATGTAATATAAGATTTTTATATTTTATTTTTAATTTTACATTATTAATTTAAATCGATTTAAGTTTGAAAAAGTACTGGCAATGAGTCAATTAAGAAGTGATATATTAATTAAGTAAAGATATAAAAAAATTAAAGTGGCTGAACAACAGTATAAACTAACCAATATTGCAGCTCCAATTTAATCTTATAATAATGAAAATAGAAATCAAGAAACAACAGAATTATCATCTGTTATAAGTGACAATAAAATTAATATATCAACTTCTAATAGTTTATTAGCTAAATTAAGTGAATTTCTTGAAACATCTAATGAAGATATAGTTGATAAAGAAACAAAATATTGATCACACATAATTAAAAGTTGGATAGAAATAGTAGATGTTAAGGGTCATCTAGAAAACAAGAAAGCTATAAATAATAAAATAAGTGAATTTAAGTTTAGTAGTCATATTAATCATTTAGCAAATGATTTATAGATAAAATAGGATTTATTAGGATTATTTAATGATTCATTAAAGGCTTCTATTTCTTTTGTTTTTCAATAAAAAGTAGATAATTTAAATTTATATCCTAAATTCTAACCTTAAATTATGTTAATTATTTTTGAATTTTTTTTATAGCTGTTGTAACGATTCAAGTCGGAACTACCCTAGAATTCCCTATTCATAGGGTAGCCATTGGATAGTTCACATAACGTTGGACGTTACTACACTCAAAAGAGGCGTTGGATTTGGCGAGTATATCTGGTAAGTATTTCTTTATTACGTCCTGTTCTATTCTATTCCTCTCTATTTACATTTTAAGCACATTACTTATATACTTTTTCTCTATCTGCTAAATACACTATTTACGCTCTATACACTATATATGCTATATCTACTTTATGCACTATATCTACTTTATGCGCTATATCTGCTATATACGCTATATACGCTATATACGCTATGTTTACTAATTACGCTATATACCCTATATCTACTAATTACGCTATATACATGCTAAACCTATTAATTAATATGTACTATTATTTAATTATAAGATCAATCTTTAATAAATTATTGACGATCCTACTTTAGATCGTGACACTGTATAATAAATAAAAAAAATAATTAGTTATATAATTAGAGAAAAAAATTAATTTATCTTATTGTAATAATTTAATTTAATAGCAATATAACTTTTGAAAGTAAATGTGTTTAAGTAATTAAAAGTAAATAAATAAATTATAAAATAATAGCATAAAAGGTTAAATTTTGTTTTATTATTTTTATATGCTCTAAACCTACATAGTATCTAATTTCATATTTTAATATTAGTTCTTTATCTTTTTAATATATAAAATAACTCTAGCAAATGTAATGCTTAACATTATTCTTGTCAGTAGAATCTTACAATTATTCACTACTACTTTTATAATTTCTAGAATATCGATAAAAATTAACTAAATGGTTTTTAGCTGATTCAATTAAGATTGTGATTTTGGCATAATAGATTCTATATATAATAAATATTTACTATATGTATATAATTTATGATTAGATAACTAATATGCATATCTCAAAAATATGATACTTTCAAAGTATATTGGCTAGCAAATAATTGAAAAAGTGTTTAGAAAACTTATCAATTTGAAATCACTTAACACTTAGACATTAGCACTTTCAAAGTTTCTTAGATATATTAAAAAAACAACATATTTTCGATAAATATTAATCTGTCACATTAATTAAATGTTTTTTTTTGAAATCTTGAGTTATCAGTTGACAGATTTTTGATCATATCTAATTTTTTTAGTATTATCACCTATATGTGTAAAATGCTTATTATAAAAATTTAGTTTATATCCAGAGCCTTCTTTATATAATTCATCAGTTGGCAAGATCAGTCTTTTTTATAAATTTTTGTCTGTACAAACAAATACATTAAACATATATTCAAATAAAAATTTAAATTATATATAATATAAAAATATAATATAATGATCATGCCAAACTCAATAACTTAACCAGATTAGCCAAAAAATCATTCAGCCAATTTTTATTAGATGTTTTAGAAATTATAAAAGTAGCAATAATTGAAAGCTTCTTCAACACAAAGTGAATATCCAGCAGTAGCATAACTATTTCTTGTTTTTATAAACTCCTTAATAGCTTTTGTTCTTCTTTTTATAACATCTAACCTTCATATTTTCTAACAAAACATTTATTCATTGAAAAAGTTGAAGTTATTACCTTCAGTTTTAGTATTTTTAAAAAAGAAAATCAGATTTGTATATTAATAGTAATTCTTAATATATATTTGTTTGGACATAGATACTAATCTAGTTATATATGTGTATACATGTGTATAGTATAATTTAACTATTAATCTTTCTATAGAAATAATGCATTGAAAGTAATTATAAAAAGAATCTAGAGATTTTCAATTTAATAACAGCTGTTCTATACTTACTATTAAAATAAATTGTTATTCTATATGAAGGCTTATAGATTTTCTTATTATACATATTTATCATTATACTAATATTGATATTTTGCAATACTTAAAAATTGTCCAATCTGATTGTATTAATTTTTAAATAATTCAATTGGTCATTTGGCTTTTGAAATAACCTATGACCAGTTATTAGTCATTTGGATCATTTGGGTTATTTTAGGTCATTTACTATCTCTGCTATATATCATATATATGAAATTTACATATTACTAAACTTATATAAAATTAAATGTATTGTAAGTTTGTAAAATGTAATTTTCAATCCTAAATAAAATATGTTTCTGGGTTAATTTTACAATTGCACAGATCCAAACTATAAATTTTCTATTTTTACAATTAAAAATTAAAACAATTGAATTCAGACCAACATAATGTATAATGCTGACCAGAAGTTTGTTGATTATAGCTATTGGCCAATCAAAATCAAGGATCAATCATGCATTTTTTATGTTTAATTAAGAGTAGAGGGCATATAGATCATTTTTATATAGTTATGTATAGTATATTAAAATTTTCATCTAAAATTAATATATGTATTAATAAAATTTTTTTATTTTTTTATTAATTATATAATAAAAAAATTTTATAATATTATAAATAAAATTATTTATTTATTATAGTAAAATTTTGAAGTATTGTATTATTTTAAAAAAATATACTTGTATATAGTAAAGTTTACTTAAGTAGATTAAAATTTTCTTAGATAGTATAAAAACAATAAATATGATTAGTTAATTTATATAAACCTATTAGTTAATTTATATAAACCTATTAGTTAATTTTATTCTATAATTTTATATTCTAATCTTTAAATTTTCATATCTTAATAAGTTTTTAATTTATTTTAATACTTTTATTATCATTAAACTCAAAAAAACTTACTCTACAACTTTTACTTAATGATTAAAATTAGTTTATTTAATATAATTTTATATAAAATTAAATATAAAAAAAATTACCATTAGGTTTATATATAATTTTAAAATACTACTTTCTATTTTTAATCCTATACAGAATTTTTAAAGATATTGCATCTTTATCAAAAAGTATTATGATTACAGTTTTCAAGTATTTATAATAATTTATTGCCTTTTAAAATAATTATAATTCTCTAATTTATACAATAGCACAAAGTTTTTATTAATACCATCAAGCTATTTGTTACTATTTGATTCATTAAGTTTTTGTTAATAATTTTTTTTGTTATATCTGAATTTAAACAAATAATCTTCTAGAAGAGCACTAAAAATAAAATATACAAAACTTTTTGATGCAATTGCATTTTTTTGATTAGTTTTTATAATTTTATTTTAGTTTTTTATTTATTGTTAGTAGAAATTTGGTTACAATAATTAAAATATGTAGTATTTTAGAATAGTGTATTTATTGAATTTTATGCTTTTAAAAATCACTTTTCAGTTTAAAGAATTGAATAAAAAAAATCACTAAATCTATAATGTTCAATATCATATGATTTTTAAAACTTTTTTGAGTACTGATTTAACTCTCAGTCTAAATAATTTTTTGAATAACTCTAGAGTAGCTATCACTAATTAACTATAAAGTAAGTTAACTTTAATTCAAAATTAGGTCAAATTTGTTAACAAATGAATAACCAACAGTATTTAAAATAGTGATTTAAACTGGTTAAACTATAATTGATTAACTAATCTGAACTAAGTAAATTTCAGATAACTAATTAAGTAAATTCTTAATCAGTTGACCTATACAACTGGTTGAAAATTAGTAATTAGATAAAAGAACTAGAAATAAATAAGAATTTTTTAAAAGGTTTAAAAAAATAAAAATAAAAATAAAAGACAAAAAAGATGATGACAAAAATTTGAATAAAAGTCTACAACTTTTTAAAAGTAAAGTGTAAAATAATCTTAACTAATATAAAATATTTTGGTTTGATTAATTGATTAAAAAAATTTTTCTTAGTTCAAATTATTAATTTAAAACTAGTCTAAAAAATTTTATTAGCCAATTAGATTTCAAGATTATAAAACTTGAAAAAAGTTCAAGAAACAAAAATTATTTATAATTCAAAATTTTGGGTATGCAACTCTTTTTGTATACTAATAAAAATTTTTTTTGTAAACTTTAGGTATAAATATAGTTTTCTTAACTAACTCACTATCAATATTTAAAGACAAAATGTAATTTAATAATATTTTTTTTAATAAAATTAAATAATATATAGAATTTTTAGATTAGTATTATTAATTTTATATACAAATCATTAATTCTTTCTGATGATCATTTGTACCAAATTTTGCTATAAACAATTGATTATTATTCAATATTTTATTAAGTAAACTACCTTTGGATACCTAAGTAAAGTTGTTTCTGATATAATTTTACACTTAGATAGCCTAGTTATATATCTCTGAACCTTTTATTTATTGAGATATTTTTATTAAATATAAAAACACTTCTTTTTTTTTTTTTTTTTTATTTATATAATATCATAGTAGAAACTTTAAAATACAAGAAGAAATTTAATTACAGAAAAAAATTTCTAAAATAAAGATTTCTAAACTACATTTGTGTTACTAATATAAAAACACTTTCATTTATATTATTTTAAAATTTTACCAATTAAACAACTTTTGTATCTTAGAACAAAAAGAAAGAGCTCATTCATAGCTTCATTTTGATATAAAATTTATTAAAAACAGCTAAAAAACTGATCAACTTATTGGCAAAATATACTTAAACTCTCTTGCAAAATTTTTTTTATTTTTTACAAATTTTTTTATATTTTTTAGAGGGCTGCCTCTGGTCTACTCCATCAAACTCACCCAAAATAGAATTACTAATCAATATTACACAATTTATTAAT